TCTTATATAAATTTTTAAAAAGTATCAAATTTTCTGTTCTAAAGATAATAAATCAATGCCTATAAGATACTACGAATATTTTATGCAGGGACAATGAAAATATTTGGATTTTTTTTAAAAAGATTTATTTAAATAATTTATTAATAACACTTAATGATATTATATACAATAACACATATTTTATTAATAAATATATATTTTTATTATTTATTCGTTTTATATATTTAATAGATCGATATAGAAATTATTAAATTTATTATACCAGATATTAAGCGAGAAAGATTGGAGTGTAAGACTCTATATGATTTACAAACATAGAGTAGCACTATATGATCAGCGCACTGAGTAAGATTTTTGAAATTTTGTAGATCAATCTACGTTGAAAAAAATTTAACATAGCGATTGATACTGTAGAAATTAATAGTAATTTATTATACAAATCAGTGTATTTTAAAATGCTCTAACTTCTGTTCTGATAAAGCAAAATCAATTCCGTAACTTGTAAATGATATATTGAGAGTATGGCTTTAAAACTATATGGAGATATTTTCTAATTTATTTTATTAATTTAACGAAAATTATAAATTTAATAGTAAAATGTTCATTATTCATATGAAGATTACTAAAATTAAACATTAATATTAAATATGACTACATAGTTTTAAAACCATACTCTCAATATATCATTTATAAGTTACAGAATTGAATTTGCTTCATTAGAACAGAAGTTAGAGCATTTTAAAAATACACCGATTTTTTATAATAAATTATTATTAATTTCTACGTACTGTATTGATTTGTTATATTAAATTTTTTTCAACATAGATTGATCAAAAATCTTACTTAGTGCGCTGATCATATAGTGCTGCCTATATTTGTAAATCATATAGAGTCTTACACCCCAGAGAGAGACGAATTAATGATTAAGTAGCAATCGTATTAAAATCAGAAATAGTATCAACTTCGATGCCAATATTTTATGAAAAAAACATATTTATTTTAATAACACTGATATAATTAATTAAGTTCAGATGATACAAGTATAATTATAACAATATTTTAAGGATAATTTATTGTAATATTGAACAGGTAAATAATTTATATAAAGCCAGTTTTACTCACAATGAAATAGAAAATAGAACTTTGTTTAAGTATTAGAATCTAAATACTATTGTTAATAGGTAAATTATATGTAGGTTCATAGTTAACTATCTGATAATAATAACTGGCTCTTTTACAATAAAATAGGGTATTATATTGAGAGTATATATTCCGTAAAATATGGTAATTATTTTTTAACTTTTTTTGAAGTCCTCTTATTTCTTTTCTTTTTCTGCCCTTCAACATCTTGACTAGATAACAATTCTTGTTCACATAACAATTCTTGTTCATATAATAATTCTAAATCATCATTTTCTTCTGACGCATCTTCAACATAAATATTCTCATCTTGAGCATTATCCGTAACAATCAGTTCAAGACAATTCAAAGCTAGATCAGATAATTTTTTTTTACCTTTTTGGACTTGAACTGTTTCGAGGTTTGTATTAATAGGAGTTATTGAAGTAGGTAACGGTATAGGTTCATTAACAACAGGAGTTGAGCTAGTGCTCTGTTTAGAAGATCTTGATGCTATTACACGGGGCCTTTTTGGTGTTCGTGAAGAAGTACTTCCTTGCACATTTTGAATTGTATTAATATTTGTGGTTACGAAGTCAAGATCCGTGAGTTCGATTATTGTAAAATCAGCAGTTATACGTCTAACAAAGCCAGACACAATAAATGTTTTGCCTATTTTAATACTGTTATTAGCACGTAAGTAGGAATATCGTGGTGCATTAGTAGGAAAAAATATTCTCAATTTCATATGAACATTTCTAGAATTTGTGCTTGAATTATACTGATAACAACTAGCATTGAAGTATGTAGATTCACCACATTCTTTTGGTTCATGATTAACAAGTACAGAAAGCATGCAATGAGGAATGCTAAGCGGGATTTCATTGGCCTGAAACTCTTGATCGGGATCACTAGATGCAATAACACAGGCATAAGAAACAGAGATATACTGTTCAAGATTTTTGACAATAAATTTGCCTGCAAACATTACAATATCTCCAACCGAAAATTCAGTATAAGGTTGATTAAAGGGATAAAAATATTTC